GTAGGTGGAGCCAATTAGTGGTGTTTTTGTAAAAGCTGTTAGAGCTGTAACTTCCTGGGCATATGTGAAAACCTCACCAGTAGAATAAATTCGTTTACATTAGGGTAGTGATGAGAATAGGAAGTCTGTTGCTAAAATTAAAGATTCTAGCACAGACCTCAAAGTAATTCTGCACTAGTTTTTCAATTAATGTACGGTATTTTATAGAATCATCTAGGGTAGAAAAGTTCATCAGCTTGACCTATCTAGTCCCATCACTAAATCATGTATTCCTACTGCTGTTCACAAACAATTAAATGTAATTCAGTGAGAGATGGCATCCACTGTGGTGAAAAGGAGTACTTGGTAGTATTTGAAATCTTTTGTGTATATTCTTTTGGCAATATATAAGAAATAGGTGTACAGAGAAAAACATGTATGTTCTTTTGCATTAATTAATGTTAGGGTCTTGGGACCTCAAGAACTGAATGGTGTTTTCTGATGGTGAGAGTGAGGGAAAATATGGAAAGATTAATACAAATAACTGGTACGTGCAAATGATACTGGAAGTCATAAGAAGTCTGTACTGCAACCTGAGCCCTGCTCAGAGTTCTAACAGTCAAGTTTGTTTCTTCTGCTACTCCAGTTCTGATTGATTAGTGCGGTTCAGAATGTCTGAATGCTGCAAAAGAAGCTTGCTTTCTCTTACTGATTTTCTAAAAATCCACTGGAGTGCAAAAATACTTAAAAATGAAGGTGATACCTCTTCTCATAACTTTTTATCTACTGTCTTCCCCTCTTGCCAATGTGTTCCTATCTGAGACCATTGGAAACTGTCACTGCAAGTATACGTCCAAGAGCAGAATTCACACAACTTTTGAAATACTAATTAACAGACAGTAAGGAAAAGAGAATGTGCATCTGTGGGCTCATGTTATCTGAACTTATGCTTAAAGATACTAAGAGTAAAATAAATAAATAATTTGATAGAAATTATCTAATATAAAGTTTTATTTCCATGAGATTTGTGATGTGGCCTGAAGAGTATTTGGTCAGTCACTCTAATTTTGACAAATGGGTGATGCTAGTAAATTCTGTTTTTCTTTATATCTTATGGCTGTACGTAAACATTATGGACATGCAAAGGATAATTATTTTTGGATTGGAAATTCAATGTGGAGGCACAAAAGTTTAAAACAGTACTCTAATCAAAGTTTTCTCTCAGATGTACTTATACTTTTTTTTTTCTGAAAGTTCATAGGGTTGTGCCATAAAATTGCAGAGTGTATATTGGTTACTGTCAGAAAACTGTTGATTACAGGAGTAAAATTGTTGGTAACTATTTTTTCTTCATAATTGTAGATGAAGAAAAGATTTGGCCTCCTTGTATCAGAGTCATTGTAATAAGGTCACCAGTTCTACAGACCGGGTCACTTTATATTATCACAGCTGTGAAACCTGCTACAATTGGAAGGTAAAACTGAGTGAAATTTGTTACTTATATCTGAAGCCTGTACTATCTTTCAGGACAGCATAAGCCACTGGGGATTGTTTGTCCCCACAGTTCCTTCTTGTCCTGCTAGCCTTCAGTAGTTAGAGGTTTACTGTCTTAAGGTTAGCCCGCAGTAAGAAACTTCAGCTGTGTCACATATTGTTGTATTTGCTATGATAACACCATACGTATTTTATGTAGTTCAGAAGTAATGGTAACTTGGTATTTTGACTAAGTCCAAATAGGAACTTAGCTAGAAGTTAAGGAAAAAAAAAGTACAGTCTATTTCTGTGTCACTAAGATAACTCCTTCAATAATTCAGAGTCATAAGGAAGCACAACTCGGGCTTCTCATTTTGAATCCCAGTAGGGTTGATTCTCCATTTTGAAATAATATGCTGCATTGTTTGCTAACCTGCATTAATTCTTTAAGTTCTGATATTTAATACAAAATCAGGTTTCATCATAGTGATGATGAACTTAATGACGAGTTAATGCTTTCTTCAGTGCCTACTAAAATCTTCACTCATTTTTAACTGCTTTTATCTGATGCTGATTCGTATTTTGATTTGCTCCTGTATCTGGAAGTTCCTAGGCACATTTATGTGAAATTCAACCATTGAAAATGCTTTGGTTTCCATATAGTTCCTTTAGTATCTGTATTGTTTCTTCGTCCTCTAGTTTAAGAATTGACATGTAAACCCGTTCATGTTTCTTCCCAGTATCTTTGAACAAAAAATCTGTATTTTTAATGTATTGCTTTTATAACTTGTCTAATTCTATGAAGAAGTCAGCTTCAGACTAGAAGACTGATGAAGAACTCGAGGATGCAGTGTTCAGACTGGTATCCACAGGTCTTGAATGAAATGAGAAGTTCATATAGAAATGTCAAGTTCATAGATTAAAAAAAATAATGTATAGCATTATCATATATTAGTGTGTAGTTTACAAAAGGCTGAAAGCAAATGAAGTAAGGCCGTACATTGTGTGTATTGTAAGATAGTACTTCTGTATCTGTAAAGCTTGCAGATAGTGCAGAAGAAAAGCATGGTATTAAGGTTCAGTTGAAATGCACCTTTTGTAAGCTGTTATTTGAGCTATTTCTATCTTGTCACAATTTATGTATTAACTTAATTTTTCAGAGAAAAAGATGTTGGCCATACACTTCAAATTCCTGAAGTTGGAGTCAGTAAGGTAACTCTTGTTTTTCTCTGCTAATACGTATATTTACATCTGGATAAAGCTTTATTTCTTAGCTTTTCGTTTTGCCAAATCATGAGGGCTTCTTTAGCAATGGAGTTAAGAAAAAAGCATACGGTGTTTTGCTCTGTGGAAATATAATGTAAACAGCAGTGTGACTTCGTATTCTAGAAAAGCAAAGATTTTTTGTTGTTTTGTGTTTTTTTAATTTAATTGGAGTTTTAGTAATGCACAGTTAATTATATTTTGAATCCTGAATGCATTAGTAATCGAACTTCAGGAAAATGGGTGATTGTGCTAGATATTGATTGTATAGTAAAATATTGCTAGTTGGAACTAGGTGTAGAAAAAATCCAATCATTACAGCTGAGCTTAGAGAAACAGGTTGTGTTTTATTTTTAAGGATATAGTGTGAATGTGTAAGTGATATAAAGAGTGTTTGAAAATATAACGATTTTTTTTGAAATGACATTGTCATAGAATATTATTTGTACTTAAGAAGGTTTAAAAATAAATTATTTGCTTGAGTTTGCTGACTACTGCAACACAGACCATAAATATAGCTCTCTTAATTCCACATAAGTTTATAGATCTGTAATCTAAATAAAAAAGTCGGTAAAACACTTATAAATGCCTGTATCTTAAATAAGTTTTACTATGTCTGTTTCAGATGACAGTTCTAATTAATAAGAAGTGTAGCATTTTATACTGCAACTTTCTTAGAGATGATCTTTTCCTGCTATTAATGACATTTTCTGGCTTGTATTTGAAACTGGATTATAAAACAGCCAGAGTTTTTATATTTTCTCTCTTGCTTCTTAGCATAGCTAACAATATTTACCAGTATTTGGGGATACTGAAGTTGCTCTGAAATACTTCTCATTAAAATAACAGTGTGCAGGAGTTACTTCAGTTTGCAAATGAAGGGGCACAGACATGAAGATAAATGACGTATCTCTAGAAAGTTACTACCAGTTTATCTATTTAACTACTACATTACTACTCATAATTGATAGCTGTGGCACTAATTTTTCTTAAATGTAAAGTGAGATTGAAATAAATGACTCCCTGCAGATTTAGCATCTTTAGAAGTACTTTTGGTTCACGCTACTCAGTAAAACAGAGATAGAACTAAAAACACTAAGCAGATTATCTAGTTGATGTTTCCACTATTCATATATAAAGCAAGTAGTATACATTTGCAACATGCTGTTTTAACAGCATTAATGCTGTTTTTTTGAATACAGCAATTGCTCTGGCAAAGTAGCACCTGCAATTAGGTAAGAAGGGTTTTGGTTTTAAATGAGCACTTTCTTCACAGGTTGATTTGTTTTTTCATTACTATAGCAAAAGAGATCTTTGTCAAATTTGAAATTAACTTGTATAGATTCCCTGATTTTATTGGGAGTCTTGGTAGATTGTAGAAGATATTTTAGTTTGCTTAGTGGCCATTTTTGAAGGTAATGTATTTGTTTGGAAATTGGTTCCTGTGTTTTCAGGAAGACTGAGTTTTGTTTTCTCTGTTCTGTCACATGGGACCAATATCCATATAGAATTGCAATTCATCTTTTTAAAAATTGGTTTGTTAGACTTTCATAGTCTACCTATGAAATGACCTAAAATTCTACCCTGACCATCTACCCTGACCATTTACTGCGTCCCGTTCTGGGCTCCCCAGTACAAAAAAGATGGGGATCTCTTGGAAAGAGTCCAGTGGAGGGCCACAAAGATGGTGAGGGGCCTGGAGCATCTCTCCTATGAGGAAAGGCTGAGTGAACTGGGTCTGTTCAGCCTTGAGAAAAGAAAACTGAGAGGGGACCTGATGCAGGTCTATAAATATCTGAGGTGTGGGGGGCAGAATGGCGAGGCCGGACTCTTTTCAGTGGTGAATGGAGACAGGACAAGGGGAAACGGCCGGAAACTGCAGCATAGGAAGTTCTGCACAAATGTGCACAAGAACTTCTTTACAGTGAGGTGACGGAGCACTGGAACAGGCTGCCCAGGGAGGTGGTGGAGTCTCCTTCTCTGGAGATGTTCAAGACCTGCCTGGATGCCTACCTGTGCGACCTGCTGTAGGGAACCTGCTTTGGCAGGGGGTTGGACTCGATGATCTCTGGAGGTCCCTTCCAACCCCTACAATTCTGTGATTCTGTGATTAAGGTGCAAGTGAAACTGAATTACATGAAATTTATGCAAACATGGCACTTTCAGCTGTTTCAAATGTGAAAGTAATCTGAGCCCTGTAAACTGAGATCAGATTTTTTAATTATATTTCTCTGTCTTCTTGATGTCTTCCAGAAAGAGCAAAATTAAGAGTGCTAAAACATCCCTTACAAGGAAGAAATACTGTTTATTCATAGGAATAAATAGAAATTGTTCATTACTGTATCTTTCAATCCTTTAAGTGAAGCATACTTTCTGTCTAGGAAGTACATGCTTTTTCAGTATTGAGACAGTTTGTGATCCAGATTATTAATAGAACATGTTAGCTTGTGATGTTATCACCCATTAATATACATTTCAAAGTGCTTAGAATGTTTTGTTAACATTGAGTACCAAACTCACACAGCTAAGAGGTTCCCAAATACATTCTGAAATTAATAAAAATAAATCAATAAAATAAATCAATAAAATAGCATTTAAATTGTCAAGAATTTGCTTAATGAGAACACTTCAATTACTCTTCTATTTATCAGTTCCATGCAGAAGTATATTTTGACCATGATTTGCAAAATTATGTTCTTGTGGATCAAGGCAGTCAGAATGGAACAGTTGTTAATGGAAATCAGATTTTACAGGTGAGTATTTGCTGCTACAGTGCTGTATACATTGCAGAAAACTAATCATGCAGTTATGTTAAACATGTCATGGCAAATTGCTAACAATACTGTCGTTCCTTGATTTCCTTCAGGATTTAGGATCATTCTTTATATTTTATGTTTGCTTTGTGTTAGGAATTAGGAAATCTCTACTGTTGTTAGAATTGCTAGAGTGAAATACCCATTGTATTTTAAATGTTTACCCACATTTGTTATTTCAGACTTTAGCAGTAAATTACAAGCAGTATTCATGTAATAGCACTGGTGCCCTGAATGAGTAACTAATAACTATGGCTGCCAAAACTTTCTTTTGCTGTAGCCTAAAACGAAATGTGATCCGTACATCTTGGAGCATGGTGATGAAGTGAAGATTGGTGAAACTGTGCTTTCTTTTCACATACATCCTGGCAGTGACACTTGTGATGGATGTGAACCAGGTCAAGTCAGAGCGCATCTTCGTCTGGATAAGAAAAAAGAATCTTCTGGTTAGTCATGTTATCATTGAATATGGTGGTTTTTAAAATATTATTATTGATCCTTATCTTATAAATAATAATTAAAAAAATATTGCAGAGTTCTGTTACGATTTTCTTCTCAATTGAGAATAGTTCTGCAGTATATGATAATGTGAGTTCTTTTTGGCATTTGTGTAATAATCTTGGAATAAAATTTTGTCTTATGTTGGAAAAGAGTTATTATATTAATTAGAAATTGAATCCTATGTTCTTCCTTTTAGTTTGCCCAGCACTTAGTAAAGAAGAGAGAGAGTTAGTCAGAAGAAAAGCATTAAAACAAATACGGGTAAAATATGGTTTACAGGTGAGTTTACAGAAAATTAAATGTTTGAGATCTACATCTACTCCATGATTCCTGTTTTAAGCCATAAATTTCATTGAATAAAGAAAGCTTTCAGAGTCCTGAATCTGATGGTTTAACTCAAGCACGTTGTTTGTATACTAAATCATTATTTACAGAGTTCTGAAGATAGAGCAGTGAAGTCATCAGAAATAAAGAATCTAAATATTCTGTCTTTAATCTGTTTGCAAAGAACACAGAGTATGAAGACAACAAAGCAGTGAAGAATCCAAAGTACAAAGATAGAGCTGGAAAACGCAGAGAGACCATTGGAAGTGAAGGAACTTTCCAGAGAGGAGATACTCCAGCTTCTGTACATATGTAAGTTTGTTTGGATGTAAAAAAAAATAAAAAATCTTCACAGTCCTCTAATGAATTATACAGAACTACAGCAAGTATCAGTTACTTATTAAGATACAGTTTGTCAGCTTATGAATCACCTGTATACAGTATATCAGGAGAATGAGAAGACAGCTATTCTCAATTGCTAGTTCATATACTAATGTTACTATATACTCTTGCTTTTCCTTATGGAATTCAGGTTGGCTGTTATGATGGCTAAATCGCTGTCTTATCTCAAAAGATACGGAAATCAGCCATTGCACTACTGACACCTCTGATGCTTTGAATAGCCTCTGTGTTTTGTCTCATCCCAATAATGGCACCTATGCAAGTTTTTCACCTGCATAATTTCTTTCAACTGTCAATATCCAGCCTTTCATAGTGTATGCATATTTTTACCTCTAAAATAAGACTTATTTTAATCTTCCTTTTAAATTATTCCTTTGCTTCTCCACTTGCTATTTTGTTTTAAAGAAGCACGATCTTGTAGGTGCTTGTAACTTAGTAAAAGGAAATGTGAGACAGTGAAATGTGTGTTTGAATGATTTGGTGGGAAGTAGTGATCTTGCCTTCTCAATTAGTGCAGTTGATTCCCATCCACCTGTGCTGCATCTTGTAGGTCCTGAAGTCAGCATATAGAATGTGTTTTAAGAAAGTTGGCATTGAGTAGAGTCTTGGAATAGCTTTAATATACTAATGAGAAAAGAAGCATAGAATCATGGAGGTTGGAGAAGACTTTCAAGATGATCAAGTCCAACCCTCAGCCAGACCTACCAAGTCCCTTAATTAAACTATGTCTGTTAGTGCCAGGTCTGCACATCTTTTAAATGCCGCTGAGAATGAGGACTCCACCACTCAGCTGGGCAGCCTCTTACAGTGCTTAACAACCGTCTCTGAAGAAATTCTTAGTTTCCAATCTAAACCTCCTGTAGTGCAACTTGAGACTATTTCCTTGCTTCCAATCACTTTTCACCTGAGAAAAGAGTGACATCCTCTGCAGTCTTCTAGATATTTGTGGATAGCAGTTGAGGTCTCCTTCTGGCATCCAGACTGAACAACCTCCTCCCATTCTCCTCATAATCTTTGTTTTCAAGGCCATCCTATTGCTCTTTTCCACAAACTTTTGAGCAACTGGCTATCCTTGTGGAGAGGCACCCAAAATTGAGCTCAAGAACTAGCGAAGAAGGCAGTAGGGCCTTCTGGGTAGTTCTTGATAGAAGAGTGTTTGGGCCCTGGTTTCTAGAGTTGCATATGTATGAACATTTCTGTCCTTCAGTATTTGAATAGAGAGCATATACTTTGACTCTTGCTTATCAGTCTTAAATTTTCTTTAAAGTGAAATCAGCGACAGCAACAAAGGACACAAAATGTTGGAGAAAATGGGATGGAAAAAAGGGGAAGGCTTGGGCAAGGATGGCAGTGGTATGAAGGACCCAGTAAGTGTCTCTGGTTTTTGCTTAGACTACAAAGAAATAGAAACGCATTTGCAGTGGAAAATGTCTAATTATAAGCCATGATTCACTTTAAAAGTTTCAGAAGTGTTCATGGGAGGGAATAATCTCAGTAGGACTAACCTCAGATCAATTTTACTTTTATCAGTGAAGTATTCTGAGTTTTTTCAATGGCTTCATCACCTCAGTAGAAAATGACAGTAATATTGTTGTTTGTAATTGTTGTAACGTTGTTAGGAAACTGAACAGGAATGAGAGATATCGGATTAATGATCTCCAATTTGAGTGCAAAGCATGGAGGAAAATTGAAATTTATATAAATAATGTGAATTCAAGATTGGTAGAATTCTTCATCTTCGAAAGTTACATAGCACAAAACTCAAACTAGAGAGTGAGCCAATGAGAGGAAAAACTGGCTAAAGCCACAGATATTTAGATTTGATTTAACACTTTAGATTTAGGTGTTCGTGCATGGTCTTGGTAAATCAGAATTGTAACGGAATTGCCAGGAGGGGAAAGATTTGTATTATGAACTAGGACTTAAATGTTAGGTATTCTACATACTTAATGACAATCTTTAATGTATTTGACAGATCCACCTTCAGTTACATAAGATGCATGCAGGTTTGGGTACAAGTAGACCAACCTCAATTGAAGATATTCAGATCGTCCCAAGCAAGAATAAGAAGAACTGGGATAAAGCAAGAGAACGGTTTGCTGAAAACTTTCAGGAACCTAAATCACAAAAAGATACACCTAAGAGTACACCTTGGGTTAGGGGGACTGCAGAGTAAAGTATCTGGTTCCACACCAGGGTGGGTAATACCTGTGTGTAAATAGTTGGGAGAGAATTTATTTTTATTCTTTTTCTTTTGCTGAAGCAGAGTTTTGGTGATATGTAAAATACAGTTGTGAAAAAAATATGCAAGATTAACTTGAGTATGTTAATTGGTTTTCTGTAGTCTTCATGCTTTTATAAAAACACATTTTTAATAAATGAATGAAACACAGGGGATATTCAACCTTAAGTACTTGAAGATGAATCTTATCATGAGCAGGAAGTTTCTTCAGTTCTGTTTTTACCACAAATGTTCATGGAAGGTCAAAGCATCTGTTAAATTTAAATACAATGCTTTTAACTTTTGAACAGTGTTTTAAAAGGAAGCTGAAACAAACACTCCTTCACCTCATCAAGCACAATGAACAGAAAGTTGTATTGCCTTTTCCTCTCTTGTATGTTTATTCACGACTGTGATGAAACTGCTCAGCAAGAGGTACATTACTCTTAAATTCCTGCAGTCCACTACTAGCCATGTCTCAGCTTACCTTCAGTGGAGAAAAATTGTTAAATTGTTTTTTAATGATCCATTGGTACTGTTTAGAAATAAATACAGTATTCCATGAAATAACAAACTTTGGTGAAGAATACAGTGTTCAGAGGACAGCTTGTAGCAAAAATTTTCTTCTGTGAAGAATTTGCTTGAAACTTGCTTAGTAAATCTGTATCATGCCTTTTAAAACAGGAGGTATGTTTAGAAAACTGCTGTGTGTGTGTATTATTTATTAATTACTTGTTCTGATGCATCCATTGCTGGCAATGGAGTTTCTGCCAGAAAAGAAAGCCACAACAACCAGCGCATCTTTGGTGGGAAAAGGTTTGCCAAACTGAAGCTAACAGCTTGGTATTTATTCACTGTTCCTAAACATAATAAATTATTATAAATGTAAGCAGTGTGCTTCTTGATACTCTCTTGCACATATGCAGGATATGAGTACTCTTCGAAAATGAGAAAAACTAATCTTTTTTTAGTCATGTTACAGTTCTGATACTTGCACAAGTAAGAGGATCTCGTAGACTCATCATCCTACTGGATCATGCAGGCAGCTGTCAAGCACCATTGAGTAAAACCAAGGCAGTTTGCTAGCTACTTATCTTACTTATATCTTCAGAGTCTGATTAAACAACATATTCATTCTGTGTTATTTAAATCATTAATGCACACTTTTTTAGAACAACTTGACATCAGTGTACAGTTAGTGATTTTGCTGCAAGCACTCTGAAAGCCTGTAGCAGTATTAGTTCATTAAAGTCAGTTCACCACTTGCTTTTTTAAGTAGCTGTTCTTTCACAATTTTAGCTACAGCTACGAATTACACCTTCACATTTTCAGAGGACATCTAGCTGAGGAAAACAGTTCCATATTAAACATCTTACAGTAACTTTTAGTTTGCTGAGTGTCTTTTTAAAAAAAGAAAAAAGTTGATCTCTATGGTTTTTACGTATATCAAACTAAAAATTTAAATTTCAAGAGAAAAGAACATATTTCGTGAGTACCTCAGCTGAATCTTACCGTATCCCTCTCCCCAGTGACCCAAGTTACAGCTCTGGTAAAAGTCAGTCACTGTTTTATTGTTGCTAAGCAAAACACAATGTTAAAAGATTTGAGTTTGCATTCTGTCAAGTTTTTGAAGTTAATTCCTTCAGAGACAGCACAGCCTCCCAGTCCAGCACTTCACAGACGTCTCCTTTTAGTAGTGCAGAAGCTTCCTTTTTCAACAAATAATTTTGTATAAAAGTTTGAAGCTTAGTCTCGGTTTAGTGCTGACATGACAAATCCCATTATCTCTTGGTGCTGCCTGGGAAAACAGGAAAAACAGTTCCATTAATACACAGCGTTGTTCAGGAAAAAAGTGGAAAATAAGGTATGACTAATCCTCATCAAGCAGTTGTGTAGCTTTATTGAGTAGAAAGACGTGCACTGCGGTAAGTGAGGCTCTTGTCCCCTACCTCAGTCACCCCTTAGTAAGTTTAAGTAAAAAATGAATAGGGTAGGAGCCTTTTGTGGTGTGCAAGCCTTATGTGCAAATGCAATAACGCTTTCCTTCACGTGAGGAGGGAAGCATGAGTTGCCATTGCACCGTTATAATTTTGGAGGCCGTAACCGGTAAGATACAGCATCGAGTTAAACTGTCTTACCTTCTCAGTCCTCCAGACGTCCTGTCAGCTCTTCCAACTTACACTACAATCATCACAGAGGCAAAACTACTTTTCTGCATGGCCAGAGTCAAAAGTTTTAGCAGTTTGCCGTGTATATAAAATAATCTTGATAGTGCGTAAAATCTTAAAGCCATTAAGAACAGTAATAGCTTTACGTAAACAAAATAGTTTATACAGACCTAGCAGGGAATTCTACAAAGTGCCAGCTTTCCAAACGTACTTTGGAATCTAAAAGCGACTTAAGAGCGACACGTTCCTATCTTCAGCGCCGACCACCTCAGCAGTCAAGTGAAAACACCGCGCACGTTCATCGCTGAATGAAAACCACGGGATTAAGCGCGCAGGGGATCTGAGCTGTGTAAGGGAGGAAGGCCTGGCCTGCCGGAACGCGGTCGCTCCCGCGCAGCGCTGTAACTGCCGCTCGGGCAGCCCCTCCAGCCGCAGCCTCCGGCCCCGCCGCGAGCCGCCCTTACCTCCCCGCCCGGCCGCAGCCATCTTGTCCATCCGCCCCGCGCGGGGGAGCCCGAAGCAGGGCCGCTGGCCATGGGCGGGAGCCCGCTTCTTTGAAGGCTCTTAAAGCAGTGGGCAGCGGAGCCTGACCGCGAGGCCTCTGAGGCAGCGGTCGCGAGAAGAGGAAGAGGAAGTGGAAGAGGAAGGAGGAGGAGCCGAAGGCAGAGCACTGAGGTTTCACTCCCTGCGTGGTGAACGGGGTGGACTGCAGCCGAGGGAGCGGGAGGAGGGCGGCAGCGCCCAGGGCACGCGGCCGCTGAAGGAAACAGGACCCACAGACGCTGTGTTAAAAATACGCATCTAAATGAGGTTTTGAGCAGTTAGGATCAAATATTATCCTGAGAGGAACGGGTGGAGTCCCAGGAATGATTCTGAGGGAAACGACAGGCAGCAGCCAGCACAGCCAAGTGGGGGGGCAGCCGCAACGGCCGCCTCAGCCTGTTCAGGGACCAGCAGCATCTCTAACAAAAAAGAAAAAAGGAAAAGGAAAAGGAAAAGGCTGAGTTAATAAAGCTTTGATGCTTGACTTACTGCCGTCGCACTGGTCATTGGTTTGGTTTTTCGGCCTCCCATCTTTTTTGTTCAGTGTGTAATACAACAGGACAGAATTAGGCTCTGTTGGAAATATCCAAGTAATTTTTGTCAGGACGGTATCTCTGATAAAAGCAGAATTATTGCAATGGCGGCGTCCCGCAAGCAGGAGCGCGGCTATGGACACAACATGACAGCCTTTATACCCTGCTTTCTTCCCTTTGCCTTCCCCCTCCCCTGTTTCCCCACTGGCTGGGTACTCCAGGTTCACAATCTTATCAGAAGATTTACATTTGCTATTTACTTGTTAATTTATTTGTTGTCTGGTGCCAGTCAGTAGTCATCCTGTTTCCAAGACGTCTCGGTGCTCTCCTTGTCCTATTGATATGGTGATTTTCTTTGAAGTCATCCTCGTTAAACAAAGAGCACTGGGGGATGATGTCAGGCCTTCCCAATGTCTCTTCAGGCGCTTCCTCGGGCATGCCATGGCTTGTTCTCTGGTTTGCTCTCGTGCAGGATATTCTTGCAGTGTGTATGACAAAATATACATATATACACTTATATACAGAGTGTGCGTTCCTGGGAAGGTTCGTCTATACGATAAGTGAAGTAAACTTGTCAGAGATCTTCCCCAAGTTAAGTAGAAGGACTCCCAAAAAAAACTATGATAGCAGAGACCATAAAATAAAAATAATATTATACAATTCTAATGCAGAAACAACACTTGATTCCCACAGGCTCTAAGATGTCCAGTGATTTGAAATGGGGCTTACTGTGCATCAATATTACAAGAACAGTTCTTTAACTCCAGGACATATCTGGAGTCCAGTGTCAGTACAAGAAAGATGTGGATGTATTGAAAATAGTCTAGTAGAGGAGAGAGAAAGGATCTGAAGCATCTCTTCTGCGAGGAAAGGCTGAGAGAGCTGCAACAAGATAAAGCTTGGAGATCTGTTTAGCAATCCCAGTTATGAGTAAAACAGACTGTGAGAAGAACTCATTGAGAGAAGCCCTGTGGAAAAGGAGCAAGGGATCCTGATGGACAAAATGCTGGACTTGAGCTAGCAGTGTGTGCTTGCAGCCAAGAAGGGCAGCAGTAGTCTAGGCTGAATTAAAACAGGGATAGCCAGCAGGGAGAAGGAGGTGATTGTTCCCTTCTACTCTGCCTTTGTAAGAATGCATCTGGAGTACTGCATCCAGTCCTGGGGCCCCCACTGTAGCAGGCATGCGGAGCTGTTGGAGTGGGTCCAAAAGAGGACCACAGAGATGATCATCAGAGAGATGGAGCACCTCTCCTAAGAAGAAACACTGAAGCAGTTGGGCTTGTTTAGCTTGGTGAAAAGAAGGCTCCAGAGAAATCTCACTGCAGCCTTCCAGCACTTGAAGGGAGTTTACTAGCAGGAGGGTGATCAGTGTTTTACTGTAGTAAATGCTGTAGTGACAGGACAAGGGGGAATGGCTTCAACTACAACAAGCGAGATTTAGGTTAGATATTAGGGAGAAATATTTTACTCAGAGGGTGGTGAGGTACAGGATCCGGCTGCCCAGAGAAGCTGTGGATCTCCCATCTCTGGAGGCATTCAAGGCCATGTGTGGTGGGGTCCTGGTGGGTAAGCCTGGCCTGATGGGTGGCAGCCCCACCCACGGTAGCGGGTTGGGACTGGGTAAGCTTTAAGGTCCCTTCCAACCCAAGTCATTCTATGATTGTCTATAAATATCTGAAAGGAGGTGCAGTGAAAATGGAGCTAGTTTCTTCTCGGTGATGCCATGTGCCAGGACAAGAGGCAGTAGGCATGAACCTGAACACAGAAGACTTCCTTTGAACATGGGGAGGCATTTCTGTGCTGTGCTGATGATGCAGCACTGGTACATGTTGCCCAGAGGCTGTTTACTGGAACAAAAATTGCCTGGACATGGGTCTGGGCGCCCTACTCTGGGTGTCTCTGCTTGAGCAGGGACTGGATCAGATGGACCAAGAGATCCATGCCAACCTCAATCATTCTTGGACTCTGTGAATTTACTTTTGACTCTTTATTTTTTCAGTGGGAAAAACAATACTTCTTTAATCACAGAATGTGCCACAAAGAACTGATTTGTGTTTGGACACTGTATGTATGGAGGCCATAGACATATCTGAAGAGGCATAGAGAACTCTTGAACTCAAGATATCGAGAAAAATGAATATCTTAAATTAGAGAGGTCAATTGAGAACTCAGATAAGTTGCCATCCAGCCTACCCTGTACATTTCTGCCAGTTACTGTTGAGGTAAGGATTCAGACACACAAGAGGGCAAGTGTGAAGTGTTTGAATGATAGGTGTTAAACAAGAGTTTTAGAAAGTACAAAAGCAGTTGTTCTTTAGTGTAAAAGCCAGCCTTCAGATTTGAAAGGTCAGAATAGAACTCCAACAAACCTTCCCCAAAGCAGTTTGTGCCACCGCTGTGCTGTGCACAGCACCCTCCTCCAGGTCAGCAAGTCCTATGTTCCTCTGCACAGAATAACAAAAAAAAATGATCAGTTAAAAGAAAAAAGGAATACAATGCACAGTGCACAAGTAAATTCACTGTAAGGAGCAATTCTCCACTGATGTGCAAACTCCTGGTGTTATCGGGCTTTGCTCCAAGGCAAGTCAGATTGGGATCCTCTACCTGCAGGCAGTTGGTAATTGTGATGAATTGTGACTGATCCTCCGCAAAGGCAGCATCAGGGAAAATACCAGTGAAGTGTTTCAGAGGCATGTCTTATGTTCAGTCATATTGAAAAGTCTTCAGAGTCATGCCAACGAAGAGAAATCTTTGTCATGTTTGCTGTGGGAAAGCAGATGTTCTGGTTTGGTGGGTTATCTGATCATAAAGAGTTCCTAACCTTTCTGCAGAGGATGTCTGTGGGATGTGAAAATAATAAACAAGAAGCAGTGGAAATGGAGACCTTATGCTTGATCTGATTGAAGACAGAATGAATCATAGCCCCTGTCTGGCTTTTTAGAGCTTATTCAAAGCACTCTTTGAGAAGGCGAGTGTAGTTGGGATGTTTTGGAGAAATATTATTTCTTTGAGACAGTTGTTCCATTTTTCAGTTTACCATAGAGATTGCTCATTTTAGGCATCTTCTGTTTTTATAGAAAAAGACCTGTCTTGGAAATTGTTCACATCAAGAGAAAAACTGAGTTTTTTAAAATAATTTCATGCCAGTATATTTTTTTAGTCTCAAATTTTTGAGATACTTTTGAAGGATATTTTTTTATATTTTTGAAGGATAGCTATTGTGATGAATTTGCAATTCTTATTTTTTTAAAGTGTTGAGATATCCAGTGTTTTGACTTGACTAATGCCTATAAAAGATGAATGGGATCTTCAGATTTATTTGTTTTCCCAAGTGTGTATCTGCTTGCCATGAAGCTGAGCATCAAAATCTGCACCTGACTAATTGTTTCATCTTGAAACTGAGTGAAAACCAGATATTGTTTTTAACCTGTAATCATTCTCACATAGGATAGCCACAGTTTGCTCTTCCTTAGACATTTACAAAAACCGTGAGCCCTTTTTTCTGGAGGCCATATACACTGAGTTATTTAAGGGACAGAGGAACACTGCAAAAATATGATGTGAGCCTTACCTGTTTTTTAGCTGTCCTGTGACCTGTATTCAGGGAAGTTTTTGTTTTTCCTTAGACACTGTTAACACCTGGCAATGGTAATGTCAGAAATCCTAGTATTCAACATTAAAACTAATGAAGTGCTGAATCCTAGAGATACCACCTCAGGCATTACAAATAAAGATTAAGAAGGCTTAACTGAAGATAACGCTGATTCAAAAAAATGCTGGAGTAGATGCACTGTCAGGAGACCTTCAAGTTTCAGATCTCAGTACACTTGAAGAGGCCTCCTGTAACAGCTGGCAGGCTTATTAATGCTGCCAGAACTGATTTAGGTAAAGAATTGTTTTCTTCTGGGATTTTAAGTAATGAGTCTTGTCATTTTGTTCACCTCAGTTTTTATTTGTTTTGCCTTGAAAGGAAGAAGCTTTTGTTATGCAGGCATGGATAGGGACAGTGTGTCTGGTTTTGGAAGCTGGATAAAACAGTCTACAGAATATGAACTACAAGGGCAGGAGTCTCAACAGGGATGTATCCTTGCCTTCAGAGAACACATGCCAACACTTAGATAATGATTCTGCCTACAATACTCTTAGCAAAGTGATAGTAAATGGATAATGGAGTGCATGGATGTTGGTGCAGAAACCTACACGTACACATGCCCTAACTTACAGAACCCAAGGAGAAAGAAATCTTTTTTTGTCAGACATCAGAACAAACTCAGATGTGCTCTTCTTTCCCAGCACCACTTCTTGCCGAACTGTCTATGCTGCATCACAGCAATTAGCTGATAAAGATCTTTCTCTTGTCATTCATTTAGGATCCATTGTATGTTTGCTCACCTACATTAAGTTTACCCCTGACTGTATTCTGCATTTTGGATGGCAGCTGCACTGGTAGTTGGTGTGATCACAGTGTCAGCCAAATAGCAGCAGTATTATAAATGTCAGAATGTCTGCTTATTTTCAAAACACTGTACGTTTCATATTGTG